GTTGTTTTTTTTAGCGTGTAATAGCATAGCCAGCTTAAAAATGTTAGTGACTCCCCAGCGAAGCGCGTGATGTACGTAACGTGTAGCAGGTCATGCCACAGCACCGACCAGCATCAGGAACCTCGGAGGTGCTGGCTGAAGGAAGGCTGTTTCTTGCCGAGGCTGTCCAACTCCCTGCTGCTTCCTTTCCTGGGCAGTGGTGAAACCAGTCCTTTGCCATCCTTTTAACCCAGTAATGCTCCAGCTCCCTGGGGGGCCTTAAATAAGTTTGTGTCAGGGTGCTGCAACGTTGGCACTGTTAGGTGTGTGAACATAGTTTACAAGGTAAACCTGGGGATTTCCCATAGGAATCTGGAGTGTCAAAAGCTTCTTGCCTGTCGTGGTTTTCCTGAGTTCTTTGCCACACAAACAGCTCTGTTGTTCTGTGGTCAAAAAAGGAGTGAAAACTAAGGGCAGGGGCTTTCCAAGGGGAGCCTCCAGGCTGCCCAGGGATGCCACAAGACTAAGGAGAGTAGGTTGAGCCTAAACAAGGTTGAGAACCTCTGCTTTAAGCCATCGCTAAACCAGCTAACTGCTGTTTTCTCTGTTTCCTCTTAATCCCCTTGTAAAGAACAGATGTATATTGATCATATATCGGATCAGCACCAATAAAAGGAAAATTAAAATTATCAGCAATCAGCTTTTTTTGGCTAGTGTAGCTAATAATGTTACCGATAAATACTGTGTTCATGCGTGCGTGCAGCCACTGCATGTGCCCAGACACTGTGGAGAGAAGCATCTGGCTTGTAAGTTTGTGAGGGGCATGGGGGAGGGAAGGGTAATGGGGGTGCAGAGCAAGGCCCCCTACAATAAGGGAGGGAGTGGGGCAGGGGTTGCCCAGCCAGGGTGGTGAAGGTGGCCCCAAGGGCTGGAAGCAGGATTTGGGGGAGGGGGGCTGAATGCACATCCTCCTCCCCAGCAGGTAAGTCTGTGGGGGAAGGGATGTGGGCGGGGGGGGGATGGATCTTCAAGTTGGTAATGTTAAGTTTCCTTTTATCGCTGCTGATCCAATATACAATCAATATTTCTATGCACCCCTATTGTCCATTGCTTCTTTGGTTGTTATGGCTATTCCCCCTTTGTGTGCTTTGCTTAAGATTTCAGGCCATGATTCTCCAAAGAACTGCCCAGATCCCACTGAAGCTCTGAGGACCTGTTTACAATTCCAGCCTCCGTACCAGTCAAGATTTCATTTGTTTCTTTGCTTCCTGCTAAAGTTACTGTTTTCTTCTTTGATAGGTGATTGTGGTCTCCCTGAAAGGTTAATGTGTGCAGAGCTAACGGATGAAGGGCTGCACCCCTGGCCGCGTGCATGGCAGGTGCATGCAGCATTTATTGGTGACATTATTGGTTACGCCAGCCAAAAAACGCTGATTGCCAGTCTGATGTGCAACCAAGATATCCAACCTCTATTGTCCAGTGCTCCTCTGGCTGCTTTTCCTAGTCCTCCTTTGTGTGCTTTGTTTAAGGCTTCAGGCCATTATAAGGATGTTAGATGGCCCGATCCCACTGAAGCTCTGAGGGCCTTTTAACAACCCCAGCTTCCACACCAGTCAAGATCTCATTTGTTTCCTCGCTTCCCACTAAGGTTATTGTTCTTTTCTTTGATAGGTGATTGCGGCCCTCCTGACAGGTTACCCTATGCAGAGCTAACGGATGAGTTTAGAGATAAGACCACCTTCCCTGTTAACAGCTCTGTGCAATACGTTTGTCGCCCAGGGTACAGGAGAAACCCTTCCTTGGAGGCCACTCTAACTTGTCGTGCAGGTTCATCATGGTCACGTCCTGAAAAATTTTGTATAGGTAAGTTCCTCTCCCCCTCACTCCGTTGTATCAGAGAGAATGAGTCAAGTAGTTGCTTTTAGAGTGGATTGAGCATTTTGTAAGCATTTGATTTGGGAATAAAAAGGAATGCTGATGTGTGTCTTTTTCACCAGAGTTGTGCATATGTGAGCTGTTTTTGTTTTCTGTCTGTCTTTAACAATCATCCTAAAAACACTCTTGATGTTTTCCATCCAATATAAACTGGACACGCATGTGAAATGCGGATTTCATTGAAGTCAGTGGTAATCTTATTGTCTTAAATAACACAAGAGTGTTATGTATAGTGACTGCCTTATGGGGTAGAGCAGGAAAATTAAAATACAAAGCACTGAATTTGTGAAGCTGCTCAAGCACCCCAGGGTGGTGGTAATGGACCTGGAAAAAGAAAATGAACGTCACAATTCAGTGCTAGTCTTGTGGCAGTGTGTTGACATTGATCGGGATGCAGGAGTGAAGCAGGGAGTGGATGTGGTCCAAAGTAAGCATGCAGAGCTGTTAAAGTTCAAATAGTTATGTAGTTGATGTGACTGGAGACCCTAAGTTTGAGAACCGTTTACTTTCTTATGGCTTAACTTTTCTGAACACTAAACCTTGCACATTTGCCCCGGTTGCAGTGTTTTAAAAGGATAAGCTTAAGCTTAGTGATCCTTTTTTGAGGTCACTTAGCAAGACATAACTCCCTTCTCCCCTGTTTTCAAATGTAGAATTGTTCTCCCAGTATCTGTTTTTCTGTGTGCATGGATATCAGGCTGTTCTGGGAATATGCCACATGGTCTGAGGTGCACAGTTACTGTACTAATACTTTTGGGTGACAAGCAGCCTAGACCACTACCATTTGGTGCAAAATAACTCTGAGTATAACCAGTTTATACTGGTGTGGCAGGGTGCGTGGAACATAGCTGAATAGGTGGCATTCTCGTGACCCGAGTGGCTCAGTCTAGGGGATGTGCTGTGCTTGTTGAACCTGAGCAACACCCAACCAGCATCTGTTTGAAATCGATGCTGGGAATAAGTGGGAGTGGGGGAGAGGAAAGTAGGCGCTTGATTACGGTTTGTTTCAGTCCAAGGGGCTTATGGCTTAGAAACCTGAATCTGAACATCAATGAAGTATGAATGCTGCTTTTTCAAAGAGAGTAAATGATGAGTGTGAGTGCTTCTGTCAAGGAATATTTGCAGGAGTAGAGGAAGGCTTGGGGTTCTAGAGAGTAGAAGAGGGAAGTATGGGGACACAGGTAGTTGTGGGGGTCCAGTTCAGGGGCATCAGGGTGCTGAGATGGGGTGTTTTGGGAGGATGAGTAGGTGGGTTACTGTTGGGAGCTATTTGTCAGGCCAAGAGGTCCCCGACCACGTGTGCCAGGCTTGGGGGGGCCTGAACCTCACTTCCTTCTTCCTACTCCCATGCAAGCTGAAGGCCGGGGTCCCTTCTCTCACTGCAATTTGGAGTGTAATGGGTTGTGCTCAAATGAGGAGGGGACTGACCCCTCCACCCCCTCCCTGCCCCAGCGGGAGTAGTGATCTGGGGGTTCGTAAAAGCAACTGATATTCAAGTCTTGGACAACGAGAAAGTATGAAGTTAAAGGTACTATAGGGATGCCTAATTCCCATTTGTGGTTGCTTTCAGGGAAGCTCTGTGGTCATCCAGGAGACTTGCCAGATGGTTCTGTTCATATAGAGACTGATCTTGGTTTTGGTTCAACAGTGACATTTTCTTGTAATGAAGGGTAAGGATTTCAGTGAATGCTTTTCCTTCCTCTTGCTTGTAGTACTGTGTTTTTTGTTTTTTTTTTGAGTCAGCATTAAATTAAGACTTAATCTTTTAGTAGAATATTGTAGACTTAGAAATTTCTGAAGGCTGTTTGCAGACAAGGTTCTTTGGTTTAATCCGATATTTTATTAGTCCCATCCCTGAAGGCTATTGTGTGTTCTTGAGGAAATTACACTTGTCTTGTATGTCCAATTTGAAAAGATTGAGTCTGGTGTTTCCATTATAAAAAGTGGGTGTCTTTTTGTGCTTTTTAAGGTGTAATATTTAAATCTTACAGTGTTAGCAACCCTTTTCAATTTACCAAAAAAAGTCTTTGTTCAGGCATTAATTTTTTAATTCTATGAGATACTTTTAAAAATCTTTTTTGTTCCTACTAAATGAATTTAGCATACTTTAAATGCATTGAATACAATCATAATAGCTTTATTGGTTTCTCTAGATCAATGGTTCTCAACATTTTGACACTCAGCTCCCTGGATCCTCTTGGAACAAGTTAGCTCTTAATTTTCACTTTTTTCTTTTTTTGCCTACAGTAAAACAGATCAGTTTTTTCTATTGCAAAGAACTCAGAAACACCACAATTATGGATTTCTGTTTAAAGTATCTGGGTTCTTCTTGTAAGTCACATTTATGCCCCTAACATATTGTGTGGCATCCTGCAGCACCCTTGAAAGAATCTCAAGGCACCCAGAGTGCTGCGGCATCCCGGTTGAGAATTGCCACTCTAGATACCTGACAACATTATGGTCCTGCTTCAAACAAATGAAGACAAAAGCCCAGAGATTTTAAATTGTTGGTAACTCTATTACCCCCATCCTCAGCACCACAATCTCACCCTGCCATTCCTCTAATCCCCATCACATATTGGGTTTGACAAGCAACAGTTTGCTATTCAACATGTTCTTAATGTTAAAATGTTACTTAACAAATCACACACACAC